TATAACCGGTCTAGCCAAAATACTCGTTCAGATCGTTATATGGAACCAGTCAAGTCCAACAAAGCTACTAGTTTAGATGATTATATCGAGCCTGTAAAGTCCAAGCAAAATACTCGTTCAGATGATTATGTGGAGCTTATAAATTAAAAGACACATTCAGAGTAGTTAGAGATTAACCATCTTGATCCTGAAAGGACAAATTTAACACGACATAGTCAGATAAAAGGAGTACTTCATAATAAAATAGGCAATTAAAAGGATCCATGACCGTACAAACAGGGTCTGTAATTGCAGATGTTTCATATTGCGGGTCAGTTTCTTTGTCCACATGGGCAAAATATCCAATCACAAGATTGATGAATACGATTTCTAGTGAAAATGCCATATACCAATTCAATCCACGAAGTTTGGATTCGAAACTACGCGAGAAGACACTAATGGAACAGAAGATAGTTCAAAAAACAATATTTTGCTTTGAATTTTGCAAAAGTAGGAATCTGCTATAACCATCATATGCTTTGAAAAAGTGACATTGAGGTAAAAGAAAAAATATCAGGACTTTAAATAAATCCAAGAATCTCTACCCACCACTCCCCCACTACCACCACAATCTTGCCCCATGAAAACACAAAAAATAAATTGACCCTCCCATACTCTGTATTCGTCTCCAATCTAATGCGAGAGAAACAGTTCATTCTGTATATAATTCACAGTAAATATTACCCCAGATGAGTAAATATCAATTCCGATTTTCCCACACGTTAAAACTAATTGTCATCAAATCATTACTGTGCGTAGTGAAAGATATCTGGGCCCATAACCCGGAGGTCCGTCGATCGACACCACAGTCTCCTAGTTCTTTCATTTGTTTATTACAATTTTAAAATTCATATCAGTCAATTCTTATTTATCATCAGACACAAACTTATCAAACCAATGTGCACTTATGTTATATCCTATGTTTAGCAGCAATCTTAATCCAACCAAAATTGGAATTACTATTACAATATGGTGTTACAATTAAGTCACTGTAACTTCCCACTCTTCAAAGGCCGTATTGTAAAGAATACTTTTGGAACTTGAGACATTCATAATGTTGAGTTTTATATAGCAATGCACCAAAATAAGATTACTTTAGTAAAAATACAAATGTACATTTCAAAGAACAAAATTTGTCAAAAACAATATGTTAGAAGCGAAGGTTAAACTCGGTCAAAATATGTCTTGAAATCAAATAGAAGTGAACTCTTGGCGAGTATGATATCAAGGAAGCAGATCATGATGTTCCCCCACACACACACTCACAACAACAACAATAACTTGCCTCCACCTTCCCAACTCGCAACGAAACCAGCGGCAGAATAACTGATATGCATCGAAGGTTTCTTCAGTTTAATGCCTAAAATGTCATCTGGAAAGGTTTAAGATGCAGAAGCAAACTTACATGGAACAATGCCAATCTTTCTATCGCACCGACAAATTCTCTGCCGCTAAAAGTTCAACGTGAACGAAAGTTTTGCAACCTCACTGACGACGTTAGACATGTTTCCGATATTATACATACATAAATATCAGCTGCTTTCATGTGAGCCGAACAAATGTTCAAGTTGCATGGAGTACATGTTCTGTATTTCAATATATGAGACACTATAGCTGGATACTAAAATGATATTATGTTTGCAGATGTGTTATCATTTTGGGTGCTCATTTCATCCATATTGACAAAATGTCCAATCACGAGTTTCGCGGTGAATATGATGTAAAATATTATCGACGAGGATGGGACGAGGATGGGACTCGGACCCACGCGTGGAGACCCCAATAGATTAGCAGTCCATCGCCTTTTTTCTTTTCTTTATTTAAAACCTGTAAATTAAAAATTTACATCGCATTTTGTGGAACTATATAACAAAACATTGATTCTACAAATGATAAACAATTTTTCGTTTTCCACTCTCATTTACGGATTATCTTGCACAAATTATTTTGTAATCAAAGCCTGATTTTTCTCTATGTAATGTTGATGCGCATATATGTATTTTTAAGTCAAATATTGAAACAGTCTCTCGATGTCTATATTCTTCCCTGATAACAACATACTGTTTCGTCTTATGTGAATACACAATTGAGCTATGCTCAAAATGTAGTTCAAACAATAACTATTTACTGATGTTTATTTCTTATATCCTATCATGATCATTTGTTCAATGGAAGTACTATTAAGAACATCAACCACTACAATTTCTAAAAAGAATCTCAACAAAATATACAGTATAGCTTTTGAAAGAACTTAATTCATTCCATTTCACAAACATGTGAAATAAATCTTGTTTCTAACTGACACACTGGACATGATTCTCTATCAATTTTGACCTAGTATTTCAGTCTCTCTTTTGTAAATATTTTATTGTGTATTATTCTGTAATCAAAATCTACACAATCTGGGCTCTTGAAAGGCAAGTGAATTAATTTTCAATGGTTAAGCTTTTCTCGGTTATGGACCCAGCAGGCATTTATCTTTTTTTCCCTTATTTAAAAAACGTTCTATACAATATGTAGGTTAAAAGCATACAGTCTTTATGTATACAGTATCTTATGGTGCTATATTACAAAACGTTAAGTCTACAAAATAATGAACTACTTCTCATCTTATACTGTCATTAGCGGATTATATTGTACAAAATATTTTGTAATCAAAGCCTGATTGTTGTCTTTGCAACGTTGATACGCATATAATATACATTTCATAGTCAAATATTCAAACAATATTTTGATGTCTATTTTTGTCCCTAATAACGACATTCTGTTTCATCTTTTTGTAAATACACAATCGATCAATGCTCAAAAAGTATAAAAAAATTTTAAAAAATTCAAATTCAAAAAAATTCAAAAAATAACTATTGACGGATGTTACTTCTGTGTTATATTCTATCAAAAGCATTTGTCCAAAGGAAGTGCTATTAAGAACACCAACTCTATAATTTTTACAAAGAATCTCAACTATATATACAGGACATTTCAAAATCATGTTAAATAAATCTCTGTTTCCACCTGATATACTGGACATGAGTTATTACCAATTTTGCCATAGTATTTCAGTCTCTGTTTTGTAAATATTTGTTTGTGCATTATTTTGTAATCCAAATCTACACAATCTGGAGTCTTGAAAGTCAAGTGAATCAATTTAAACTGGTTAAACTTTTCCAAACTAAATATCTTACTCCATAAGGAAACAAAAGCTGGTTCTTAAAAAAAGAAAGTTCCCAAACGTGTGATGTAATTGAACACAGGTCATACAATTTTGCCAAGCACGTTTCCACCGCACCACTCTACTGTTGTCAAGTCCAATTTGTTGTAACTAATCTGAAACGTGGATCTGATGATATTCAACCATTTGGGCAACATTTACGGTGAATTATATACTGAATGCTCCAAAGGAAATCTTTCTCCAACATAAGATTTGGCACGAATAGTCCATGCTGAATTAGAAACCAACAATATATTTTCTGTTTCTAGAGTGTTCATGGGACAAGGGATTGGTGCTCGTTCGGGAGATGTGGATAAATATCCTTAAATTTCTTCCAAGTACGGATATTCTTTTCTTTTCATCCAAGGCCAGATTTAAATTCTGAGCCTCTGATGATTGGATTAGTTTTAGAAATATCACAAGTTATTTAATCTGTGTATAGCACAACAAAACTCTGACGACGGAGCCTAGTTATAAAGGAGGTGGAGTGATAACCGATCAAAGTCTCCTAGTTTTGAATCCCATTTTCGTTGATTCAATTTCGCCTTGACCACTCAGCCACATCCTCTGCTTTATGGCGTGGTACAGTGGCCCAGTGGTCTAAAGCGCTCACCAGCCCTCATATTATCTGCATTACTATAAAATATGTCACCATTCCAACCAGTGTCTCCTGCAAATAAATTTTTATTTTGCTGCGCAGCTCGAAAGAACGCAATCAAATAATCGTTATGTTAGCATTATGACGTAATCTTTTAATAATACGTAATATAATAGTGCGCCACCACTCAGATGGCCTAAAGTGGTTAAAGCGTTCGCCTCTAATGCAGACGTTCGCGGGTTAGAACCCCGGCCGAGTCAAACTAAAAATAGTATTAGCAGCAGCCTAACTAGGCGCTCAGAATTAAGAGATTAGTGTTAGTACTGGTCGGATTGGTGTCAGGATAATATAACTGGGTGGGCATGATGCTACATGTCTGCGGCATGATGCCCTAGTGTTAGACATCACTATAAACTGTGATACTGCATAGTAGCAATATGACTTAAAAAATTGTTAATGCTACGTTAAAAATCAAACACACACACACACACACACACACACACACACACACACACACACACACACACACCCACACCTAAAACTTCGCCTGCACTGGATTTTTAAAGAAAAAAAAATACGTTATTGTAAAATGCATTTTAACTCCACTAACGATAACAAGGAAGATAATCACGATACTGCCAAAAATTAGGAACTGATGGGTTATTTCCCTTATTCCTCGCAATTCAAAACAGTCGTATTGCTTGTCTTGCGGTATTACCAGTTTAAGTACTATGAAACATTATCCTGAACTGTCGGAAGAAGAAGAAGAAGAAGAAGAAGAAGAAGAAGAAGAAGAAGAAGAAGAAGAAGATGATGATGATGATGATGATGATGATGATGATGATGATGATGATGATTAGTTTTATGTAAAGCAGACTGACAAAACTTAAACGTTTTCTTTTTCTTACGCAATCATCTGCGGCCGTTTTTGACCTATACTGTCCATACTCTGTATGTGTGTGTTTGTGTCTTTGTTTGTGTGTGTGTGTGTGTGTGTGAGAGAGAGAGAGAGAGAGAGTGGGTGTGTATGTGTGTGTGTGTGTGTGTGTGTGTGTGTGTGTGTGTGTGTGTGTGTGTGTGTGTGTGTGTGTGTGTGTGAAGAATTGTTCGAATCTAACAGGCAATACATTTATGGTGATTTACTTTGGAACTGTATGATTATTTTTAGGCCTAGTGGTAGAGCGTCTGCCCCGGATGCGGAAGGTCGCGGGTTCCAATCCCGTAGAGTCATACTAAAGAATTTCAAAAAATAGTACATGTACTAACATTTGCCTCTCTTGGGGCTAAGCATTAAGAGGTTAGTGTTAGAACTGGTCAGCCTGGTGTCAGGATAATGTGACTGGGTGGAGCATGATGCTACATATCTGCGGCATGATGCCCCAGTGCTAAACATCACTATAACTTGTCACACTAAAGACATCGTTGTTGTTGTTGTTAGGCTTAACGCCATTTTTCAGCACACTATAGGCTATTCATGGCGGCCAGTATTAATGGTGGAGGAAGAAACCGGGATATCACCGGAAAGAACCACCGACCCACGAGAAGCTACTGGCAAGCTTTCTCACATATCAACATTCGCCGAATCTTAGATTCGAAACCACGCAGACAGAGGTGAGAGGGCAGTGATCCGTAACGGACAGCGCTTTAGACCACTCGGCCACTCGGGGCCCCTAAAGACATCGTAGCGATATGACTGAACAACTGTTAAATTTACGTTAAAAATATAAATCACAGATACACACGCATTTTTTTGGGCATGTACTGTTCAGTGTACTTTGCTGCAAGTGTCTAATATAAAGTATTGCCATATCTATTCTTAAAATATGCATTCAGATCTTTTCGTTTAAGTGCGACTTAATTTTCAATTGAAGTTAGTTTTTGTCACTGGCGCGTAAATTTGGTCATATTTAGCGGTTTGTTATGCATACGTTCATTGTGTGAAGCATTTCTTACAATACACACATTAATCAGCAACAACAATTACAATACACTTATTAATCAACATTAGTAATTACATTACATACAATAAACAGCGATAGCAATTTCAATACATTCATTAATCAGCAATAGCATTTTACATTACAAAAATTAATTAGCAATATGAATTACAATACACATATTAATTAGCAATTACAATACATATTAATCAACAGTTGCAATTACAATACACACATTAATCAGCAATATCACTTATAATACACACCCTAATAAGCAATAGCAATTACAATACACACATTAATCAGCAATAGTAATTACACTACACACATTTCTCAGCAAAAGCAATTACAATACACACTTTGATAAAGAATTACAATATATATATATATATATATATATATATATATATATATATATATATATATATATATATATATATATATATATATAAAGAATACAAATCATATGGCGAATAACAACCCTCTCAAACGTACTGGATCCACCAAGGGATCACGTCTGTCAGGGATTAATTAAAATAGATGCAATAAACTGACGACGAACAGTACGAAACTAGTAACTAACTAGCCTAAGCGCTTTCGACTCCCAATGAGTCTTTTTCAAAGGCAAATACAAAACATAGTTACGACAAACAAATAAATACAAAAACGTTGCGTTTGTAAACCTCTACATTTCTATCTTCACATGTGCTAAAACTATAAATACAACCAGCTTGTAGTATTTCCGCAACTAGTCTATACAAGCTGGTTGTATTTATAGTTTTAGCACATGTGAAGATAGAAATGTAGAGGTTTACAAACGCAACGTTTTTGTGTTTATTTGTTTGTCGTAACTATGTTTTGTATTTGCCTTTGAAAAAGACTCATTGGGAGTCGAAAGCGCTTAGGCTAGTTAGTTACTAGTTTCGTACTGTTCGTCGTCAGTTTATTGCATCCATATATATATATATATATATATATATATATATATATATATATATATATATATATATATATATATATATATATATATATATATATATATATATATATATATATATATATATATATCAGCAACACCAACTACGATACACACATTAATCAGCATTAACAAGTGCAATACACACATTAGCTAGCAATAGTAATTACAATACACACACTAATCATAAATAGCAAGATGGGCATTAAGCTTCTCAGTGTATCTTCAATGTCTATTGTAAGTGTTCACGTTCTTATGATTTATTTATTTTCTTCTTCATAATGACCTAAAAGTATAACAGAATCCGGCCGATATTGTGTCTTCACTTCTACATATGCAGCACATGTGTGTGTGTGTGTGTGTGTGTGTGTGTGTGTGTGTGTGTATGTATGTGGGGGGTTGTATTATGGTGGCTATTCAATTTTCAGCAAGGAAAGGATATATGTCATGTAATGAAACGAATCAAAAACAGTTTTAGTGGGCAATAAAAATCCCCATAATATTTACAGAAGAAAGACTTAATACAACTGATGTGTCTGTCGATCAAAAAGTCAATACTTACGGAATGTCGTAAACAACGTGAAGACCGAAACAGAACAAGTTTCACTTGGATGGTTGCAGACACATTTACGATGGAAAAGTCTGCAGATCGTTCTTCATTTTTATCTGTTCTTTTTTATTCCCGTTTCTATTTTTACTGCTTTGTATTATTTATTTGATACCTTTGTGACATTGATATTTATTTTTGCGTGAGGAAAGTCTGACATCCAAGACGGAAAACGTAATAAATTTGATAGTTATGGCACCTCGAGTCGTATAGAATGTAGATTGGACGCAGCCATATGTTTAGCCACTTTCTAAAATTACGATAACAGGAAGTCTTAAAAATGACAGGACACATTTTAATGCATGAAAATTAAATTGGTGCTTGATCTTCTGTAGGATGTGTGAATTGAATGATGGGGGTGCGGGGTTTACCTTCCTGTATATTTTAATTATACTGAACATGGAAAAAGAACTGAATGAGAAAGCTATTTTATTTTGTATATCCAGAATAGTCGTCATGTGCTAATGACGTCACCATGGTCCAATATCGATTCCCCTTACTGTGATTATTGCTGGCATCAAGTCCACTTGGCGGAATAGAATCGATTTTGGATTGCCATTAGAAAATCAATTATCTCCCCTTGTTTGAATCTGTCGCAGTAACCAAACTGCCATTGTGTCGTGCGATGTAAGTGGAGAGGGTTAACATGTCCTGTATCGACTAATGGAAGGCCGGCTTATAAAGGGTTGAATGCAGATCGTTTATGAGGAATTTTAGCACACATTTTAACTCAAGGACGTGGTCAAAATGGCCAAAAATACTGCTGTGAAAAATGCGAACGGTAACGTCAGGCCAAGAAAACTATACGACGCTCCTGACGACGAAAAACTAGAATTAAAACTGGACAGTATCACCTCAAAAGCAAAGACACCATGTTTTGTGTACGTTTTGACCTTTTTTTCTGCGCTTGGTGGTTTTTTGTTTGGATACGACACCGGTGTCATTTCTGGGGCTATGATACTCTTGAGACTTCATTTCTCTCTGTCATCTTTATGGCAGGAGTTAGTGGTCAGTGTCACATTGGCAGCGGCGGCGGTGTTCGCCCTGGTGGGTGGGTGTCTAAATGACCGTCTCGGGAGGAGAACTGTCATTATGACGGCTAGTATAATTTTCAGTGTTGGAGCAGTTTGTATGGGCATCTCTATTGACAAGTACATGCTACTGACGGGCAGAATCGTCATTGGCGCTGGAATAGGTAAGTAACCACTTAATTTAACACTTGAATAACCTTGACCTCATGTGACCCAGTGACCTCAGACTTCGAACGTCCGTTACTTGGATGTTCCAGCGTGATAGAAAATTTCATAACTGAAACAAAGTATAATGCTCCTAGAATAACAGGTCGCACCAAGGAATATTGTTCGTTCAGACCCCTGCATCATACCCGTCATTGGATACGCATATTTACCTATGTACCTACCTCCATGCATATATATATATATATATATATATATATATATATATATATATATATATATATATATATATATATATATATGTTGTTTTATCATTTTAATTTGTCATTGTTTATTGTATAAGCATCATTTGCTCATTTCATTCATTAACATGATTTGTTCTGAGGCGCAAAGTTTCATCTACGTCTTTTTTATTTCTGTCTGCATCCTTTGTCCAAATGTTATATATTTGTATCTATATGTATAAGAGTAATTTAACAATATATCCAGTAAACTTGTGTTACCTTTTTCTTCAAATCCGTTTGCAGCTTTTAATGTAACCCTTATCTATTCTGAGTGATTTATATTGAATATACATACATACATACATACATACATACATACATACATACATACATACATACATACATACATACATACATACATACATACATACATTCATACATACATACATACATACATACATACATACATACATACATACATACATACATACATACATACATACATACATACATACATACATACTTTTTGTACTCACTATATACTTATATGCACACAACGACACTTGCCAATAAATTGATAATATTATAATTGCAAATTATCGTCAAATGGTACAAATGGCAAATTACTCATTTAGCCCACTAATTTGATACTAAAATCAAAGACATTTAATATCATCCATTGTTTCATGATTGTATATGGAAAAGGAAATGTCACTGCTTCTTGAAATTCTCATCTGTACAAAATTTACACAGTCCTTCATAACTTCAGAAACCTTGCAAGATTTGGATGTAATGGCATGTTGCCAACCTATAATCCTTGTAATTTGGCTGCACATTGTCATTATACTGTTGTCAAACATAAAGTGCAAATGTACAACGCAAACATTTACGGAACAGCACTATGAGCCGATGGGAAAATCAATTTGGTTTCTTTGTGTAGTTGTCATCTGCCATAGATCTTTTAATTTATAAAACTAATTGGCAGAGAAATTGAAATTGCATCAATAATTACTCTTTCATTCTGACAGCAGGCTTTCAACAGATCCAGCGACTAGGTAGCTCGATTCTTCAAAATGAGTTTATACACGAATTGAACTGTCTTAGGAGCATGTCAGTTACATGCCTAATAAAGTGGTTTCAGTTTCTTTAATTGTTGACATACTGGCACCAATCTCTTGATATCTTTGGTATTTTAAAGGTACAATGAAGATTTCCTCGTTGTTATTGGGTTTTTGTTATTATTTTGTTGTTGGGTGTGGGGTTGGGGGTTATCTTTTATTTGTGTCTTTTC